AAACATGGGCACATACATATCCTGCTGTGTGTAAAATATTCACCAACACATCTAATCTGTGGCTGTAAATAGTCCACAACAAATTCACTGTTTACACCTGTTAGAGTAACATGTGCTAACAACAGTTCCCAGCTTTTGTAGGAAGTTCCTGAGCACTTGCACGTTGTTGGTTTTAGTCTTTTAATGGGATTTGTTGACAGTTAAAAAAAATATTGAATATTGCCAACTTTATCCTTTAATTGACAGGTATATTAGCTGCTGTTTTTGTTTTTTCCACTCTAAGCACTGCATAATGCCATTAGTGTATTCTTTTTTTAGCCTGGCTCCTATGGGATTTAGCAGTGTTATTGCCATGCCCTTTCTCTCATAATTATACAAAACCACCCTAAAAAACAACCTCACCCAAGTGATACAGATGTTGCTACTGTGTACCAACAGGGTGCAGGTAAACACTCAAAACCCTGAATAGCAACAGTTTTCCACACAGTCATATTCCCACTGCTAACTGGAGAGTGGTGAAATGTAAACAAACACGCCACCACGCAAACGTCTAAAATGTCTGATCAGCAAGAATTCTGTATGATACAGTTCAGACCGTAGAGGACGGAGATGAAGAGAGACAGGAGGATAAAGAGAAGGAGAGTTACTGTATGTGTAGAGTTCAAGCCCTAGAATAATTATGTGAAAATAACACAAAAAAAAACAACTCCCACAGAACAAACAAGATGTGTAAGTCAAACACAACCTGCCTTGATAGAGTACAACCACTGTGTTCCCACTGCTTGTTACACTCTGTCAACATGCAGATATGCCGTTCACTCTGACCATCTTTCCTTAACAGCATTCCAGTTGTGACCTCGGCTCAGACACATTGGTCAACTTTGTATTTTTATCAGTCAGCTGTGTGAGCTGACAGAGTGTAGAAAGTAAACATTTTCCACCCGCAGCTGACGTCTGTTGACTGGTGTTCGGTAACGTTTGTTGACTGTATGGAGAGAGAAAGTCCAGCACGTCTGAAAGTTAATTTCTGAGGTTTCCTGACAGCACAGGGAAAATCTGTATTTTTTTTTTTCCTTCTGTCGTTATGTGTGCTGTTTCATTTTCCAAGCATTTGCACCAGAAATGCAACGTCTATGTCCACCAAGCTGTCCGATCCCTAAAGGCCAATCAGTAAAAAGTGGCATGGAGCAATCCATTACCTACTGCTGACCTCCATTGCAGGGACAGAAACACTGACAGGTCTCTGGCACAGCGTAAAGGGCTGTAATGGACATAAATAATACATTCATATTTCAACAATAACAATGAGTATGCTAGCCAATTAGAGCAAAGATCTAACATTGACATTAACATGAATTAATACTTAAGAGGTTATCATACCACCGGGCTATTAGGTTACTGCCACACTGTAGGTTGTGAGTATTTAAACAGTGCTCACACCATGAGGTGTTTAAGGTTTAGTCATGCTTAAAGTTTGATTATTTTGCGTTTTTTAAACAACCACAGGAACCAGAAAGACAAGAGTCAGGGGCTCCATGGAAGCTCAACTGTAAATGAATGTAACTTTCTATAATATGAGCTGTCCATAAATGTTCTACACCATATCAGTTAAATTTTAGGTTGTTTGAGGGTGTTTGCATCCATACTAGGGAGATTTAATTGATACCAGTGTCTACTAATACTAATACTAATACTCATACTCAGGCGTGAAAAATTTCCACTTTTTAATTTGGAACCAGTTCTAGATTTCCATCCCTAATCCATACAGGGTGAATGTGAAAAACATGTGATCTCAAATATGATATACCTAAAGCTAAAGCAACTAAAAAGTGGAATATGCTTGAGTAAGCACATCAGTCACCTGACTTCAATCCCACTGATTCACTTACTGAAGACCAGACTAAGGCTAAAAAAAACGCCTGAAACCTGCAAACAGTCATTGTCTGCAAATATGATAACTTCATGTGTGTGTTTCTATACTAACAATACTATAGATAGGGCTAAAATCCATCTCATCTGATGTAAATGCAGACACCCTCAAACATACACCAATGTGCTATAGCAAAGGCCAACACCGCAAATAAACATGTCACTATTGTAATACTAACAGCCTGCTTTGTGTATTGGTCATTTTGTGCTCTAGAATAGTATTTGTAGCACCTTAAACTCAAGTTTCTAGTCAAATAACTTAAACTACAGTACATTTTATTACAGTAAATTGATCATATCACTGCCATTTCTGTTCTTTGTTCATCCTCTCCTTTCTACAAGGAGGTCAGAGGTCAAGGCGCCCCACTTCTATAGATCTTTAGACTACCTCAAAGTCATTTCAGAAGGGTGCAGATAAAGTAGTGATTCACTTAAGGAGGTGTGCTTGCCTTCTCTGGTTTTCTAAAAAAAGAAGAGAAAACCCACTCACCCTACAAACAAAGAAGCACTTACGTTCAGAAACCTTACAGACTAAATGGGAGCTCATAGGTTAACTGTCACAAAATAACATTGCAAATAACCATCACTAGTGAGAGGATCATATGAAATGCTTGTTGGCATTGAGTGCTCTCTGGTTTTCAGTGGTTAAGCCCAGAATAGTTAATAAATACAGAAATAATATCTATCTAAGTATTTAAATGAATATCTGTCAGGATATTTGACATTAATCCATCACTTGTTTTAAAAAGTCTGATATAATGTATTGGTTTGATACATGAAAACAGAATAAAACTGGGTAAAAGTGACTATTTACAAGAGTCGAGACTACAATCACTAGTTGTTTTTTGTCCATGAATTCCTAAAACCAAGTGTGCAAACAGATTTTGGGGAGGAAAAGGGAAAATAAGCCACTGTATTCAAAAACAAAAATGCCATTGAGCAATACTGAGTAAGGATTGCAACATTCTCCAGTGCTGCAATCTCTGCCCTGGTATTTGGTTTGTTATTCTGAAGGTGGTGAAAGTTTGAGGTTTAGTTTCATTATCAGTTGAGATGGCATTGAATTTAACTGCAACACCCTTGACACCCATATTAAAAACTTGGAGCTGCAGGTCACCATGCTACAGGAAAAACAACCGGTTTTGTTGGGACTGTGGTGTCCTGAAAACAGTTTGTTGGGCTCAGATCTACATGGTCACACTCAACTTTCACCAGGCAACACCGTAGGTTACTTTGTCAGTCCAAGCCCCCAGGAAGAGCGCCAGGATTTGAAGCCAGTTTGACACAGTGGCCAAACCATTACAACAACGGCGTCAGTCACATGTTGCACACTGGCCCAAAAAACACATTTTCATACGCTTACAATGTGAAATAAGCAGCTGTAAATGGTGGATAATTTCTTGGGCTTCACAACCCCAGCAAACTGACTAATACCAGAATTTGATCCATTCAATCCGATAACATTTGGAAAGTCTACAAGAGCAACATGATTGAATAATTATATCTCTATTCAAGTTAGCGGAGGGCTGAATCAACAGTTAGCCAGCCCTGCCAGTGGAGATCTCTGGTATGCATTCATCTGGGGAATTGTTTTACAATAGAAAGTGACACTGCGCCACTGGGAAGCTTTTATAGGAATGAAAGAATGGTCAGCCTAAGGCACGGCTGTTTATCTGTGCAATGCGTGAAACCAAACGCTAATCCTGAGCTGGAATAGGGCTACTACCTAGCCCCAGATTTTCCATGTATCAATTACGTAATCAATTATGTAATTATTTTAAATAATACATATAAAACTAATTCTGACATGGTTGTCCAGATTAGATAAACATGCAGGACCTGCACTAAAGCCCCTATCCTTTCAGTTTATATTGTTCTTTGGTGGTCCATTAAGTATAACCAAACAAAATAGTAATTTATCAAAAGACTAACAAATTTCTACGCTCCAATATAAATGTGTTTTTATTTAATAGATTTTAAATAGACTTTAAGAGACAGCTAGATTTTAAAAGTATTCAACTGAAAAAATTGCACCCTACTCTAAACTGGGCCACAATTTACTAAATGCACATCCTGTTGTTTGGAAGAAGACTTGAAACTAGAGATTGAGGCCATAAACTCATTATGAAAATGTTCACTGAGCTAGTAAATCATGTCAGAAGTCATTCATACATAGTTTTATATATGAAATAGTTAAGGAAAATAACAACCCCCAACCCCCCCAAAACCAAACAAATCAGATCATTAGGCCTACCTGTCCATCAGTTCTCGCCATCCTTGAAAAAGCCACACCACTGTTCACTCTGGTTTGACCTGTTGCTTCATCCAAACTTTTGATTTGTAGCTTTTTCTACTTGTTACTTGTGTTTCTTTTCCTGCTTTGTGTAGCAGTGCACACTGTTGTAGGTAAGGGTGGAACTATACATTTTGGTTGGTCTTCCTCTGCCATCTTTGCAGTACCTGCCTGGCAGACTTATGGAAGACTCTGCTCATGCGCAATGAGTGCGCAGAGGTAGGCAGGTAGGAAGGAAGGTAGACAGGCAGGTTGACCAGCCAATCATTTTATCCGCCCCGAATGAAATGATTGGCTGGGGCTTATTACAGACATGTGACTGCTACAGATAGTGGATTTAATAGCATTTTATTTATTGATTGCTGTCAGAATGTAAAGATAATTTAAACAAATATAACAAAAATGCCATTTCCTGCACAACACCAGAAATGATCAACCTTCAAGATCTGATATCTTTGCAGTGGATGAAGGAATCACTTCCGTCTTTAAGCCATGAATGCATTAAACATGATGCCTGGTTGCTTGCTTGCAGCAGAGAGAAAAAGGGAGCTGCAGCTGTACATGCAGTCTGTCTCTCAGCAGGATGAACTCACATCAAACCCCCGAGCACCTGAACAAACACATCACTGGGACGCACACAGCACAAATCTTCCATTTCCAATGAAGAGCCCGACCATTTTGTGCGAGGGGTCCCGTATGTCTGACCCACTAACACATTTCTGTTTAATAGACGGGGTGACGTCACGGAGGGGCGGAGCCAGGAGCGTTCAAAACACAGCCTGCCCTCAATCCTCCCTGATTCTTTGCTTCCTGCCTTGGGGTTTTTTTTTTTTGTTGCGCTTATTTGTGCCACTGCCCCAGTTACTTGGAATAATCCGCGCTTTTTTAAACATTTTCTTGTTGTGTTTGCGTTTTTTTCCACATATATATAATGCGGCTGCTTTCCGTACATTCACTCCAAAACACATTCCTACCGAGATTGTATTCTCTAACAGCATCCGACTGTTGTTTTGTTTGTTTGCTGCTTTCGGTGAATATGGACTAATTGGGAAAACCAGTATAAATGCACCTGCCGTCCAAGACGCATCCCGCTTTTGACCATCGAAGAGGTAAGACTGCCCGAGCAAAAAGGGAAAACAAAAACAACAACAACAACAACAAAAAAAAAGAGGAAGACAAATGCTTTCGACTGCAGCCAGCAACTGTGCAAGAGGCTGCAGCAGCTGCAGCCCATTATCCCGCCTGGATCCTGTGTGTGTATTTCACCCACAGCGGATTGAAGGGGGGGAGAAAGAGGTCACATATAAATGTTTTTTTGTTTATTTTGCATTTAAGTGTTGTTGCTCAATCCCGCGCTGCCTGCCTGCAAAGTCTGAAAAAATGGCGATGTTGTTTGTAAAAACTGAGCGATAACCTATTTCCTGCTGCAGACTCAGCTCTTTGATCAACTGTTCAGAGGATTATACGAACTGGCGCCCAAAACTGAGTAAATATGCACAGTAAAACTAGTTCAACCCCCCCCTCCAAAACTTAAAGGTTTTGATCTGGATCTGTTTTAGACTCCTGAACATTTGTGTTTATTTAACCCTTTTGTGTTGTCTTACCTCTTAAAACAGCCTCCCTTGTGTTATACCTCATCAGATCTTTCATATGATGGTGAAATGTGCATTAAATAAGCCATTTTTAATATATAACAGCTGGTTGAATATATGCTTCTTATTGTTTGACCTCTGAGTGAATTCAAGGGACCTATTTTGAATGGTGTGTGTGCACTGCTTAACTTTTTAGGGGACCTTTTTTAGTTCAGTGTAGGCCAATCTGCCCCCATTGCAACCTCTAATCTTGTTTCCTCCTCTCCATCAGGTGTGCGTGCCCTGGGTGCAGCCTGGCCTGTGCTGTGGTGGCGATGAAGAACCCAGGAGCTGCAGAGAGCGGTCGGCTCGCCATCCTGCTGGACGCTGCTCTGGTGAGGGAGGCTCGCCTCTGGAAGGTACCTGTCTTCAAGAATGGATGCATCCAGGTGAGACTGTGCACATGTGTGTACATATAGAAGATGCATTTCTAGCTTGTTTAGAGGTGCTATGTTTAGTTAGTAAATGGTTAAGTCATTTTCAGATGTAGTTTTAGTAACTCTGAATAAACAACCATATACGGAATTAAGACTGCACAATTATTCGAAATATTGTCGATTAATCAAAGTAATTTTTGGTAAAACAGCAAAAAAACCCAGCATTATAATGAGGTACTGTAGTTCTTAAGAGATGCCCTGGCCTACAAATCTTGTCGTCCTGATGTAAAAAGGAAAAAAAAAAAAAAACATGGTACAGACTCCAACAAATGTCACATCAACATGATTTTTTAAATAGATTTTTCAGAGAAAATAAAAATTGTAATGCAAAAATTATTATTCCCACTAATCATGAATCATAACACAATATCTGTCAAAATAATCACATGATTTTTGGCTTTTTATTTTTCTTTTCAAAACCATATTGTGCAGCAGAACTGAAGTTCAGGTTATGGGAATCTCCTTGTTACTGGTCGTAAATAGTCCATTGTGGAAAAAATGCTAATCTGAAAACAGGTTAAGTATTTGCTTTTAATAACGCCTGACGTCTAATCCTTCATTCATTAACCGATGGTTGTCTCTTCTGACTGCTCAGGGCGCTGACATCTCTTTATCCCAACACCAAGAAATGATCCTCTGGCTCGGAGAGATGAGCAGGCTGTTCCAGTTCTGTCCAGAGACCTTTGCACTGGGGGTCTGTGTCCTCAACCGACTGCTATCTACTGTCAAGGTAGACGGCTGCAAAGCATGATAATGGTTTCCAACTAGCGTCCTTTCAGAATAAAAAAAATAATAGAGGTTTTCACCCAGCATTTTATTCTTCTTCTTTGGTCCACTGACCCCTGAGCTAATGGTCCAAATCTGTATTCAAAGAAAACACATTTTATCTGTATTTGATGTCAAATTGTACTCTGAATAGGGCTGCACAGTGAATTGTAAATAATCTCTTTACTTTGGTCCATTTACATGCAAATTTGACTGTATAAAGTGCATTTAAATTTAGTTTGACTCAGCAGCTGCACAAATCAAAACCTCTAACAGATTTTCATACTTTTTTTTTATAAACTGAGCTACTTTTGCTACCTTTTGCTTTGGGGAGACAGAGATGATGGTAGTGCAAAATATGTCCTCTCACTATGACCTAAAAGAAGTATAATTGTCCTGTTAAAGGACACATATTTCTGATCACCACTAGAATTGATCGTTGATGAGAAATGCCAAACTAAATGTGCTCATTTCCTAAATTCCCTTACTGATGGTCAGAATCTGTTAAAGCAGTAAAAAAAAAAAAAAGCATCTGATTTCTGATGTTTGTTTCTTCTATTCATGCAATTTTGTGCTTCATAAGAATTAAATGGAGCCTTTTTCTTTTTCAGGCCCAACCAAAATACCTGAAATGCATCGCTTTTACCTCGTTGATCCTGGCTGCCAAAATCAATGAAGAAGATGAGGTAAGATATTTTCTTATTTTTTTTTTTTTAGGATTCAAAAAGCAGAACATGTCAGATAACAAAAAAAGAGACACCCACGTCAATGCTACTTCAAAACAATACATTTATTTGCTTCCCTTTTTGTTGGTGTCTGTTTAAACAGGTAATAGGCTCTGTTAAAGACCTGGTTGTGCAGAGCGGATGCAACTTTTCAACAGCGGAGATTCTTCGCATGGAGAGGATCATTCTAGACAAGCTGCACTGGGACTTGTACACCGCAACACCAGTCGACTTCATTCACATAGTAAGTCAGAATTCAGCAGAAAGACAGGCAAACGTAACTGGGTTTTTGTTTTTTAGTTTTTTGTTTTTTACTGGACGTGAGCGATCAGAGCATCTCATAGTGCGCCGGCTGGACTTTGAGATGCCTTCTGAACTCAGGTCCCTGGTCTTGCCTAGAAACACAGCAGTACAAAAGCACACATTTATAACCATCATGCTTGCTTCATGTTTGCTTCAAGATGGTGTTTATGAACCCTCACACCCCCCTCCCCCCAAACACACACACACATTTTAGAATTGGTCCTAGTACAGATTGTGCGTTATAAGATTTCACTCATTGTGCCCATGATTATTATAAACTCCAGTCAGTACTGATTGGAGTGTGTCCTTTTCCTTTTTATAATCACTGTGGCCAAGAAGGGAACATAAAAAAAATTCCTCTCTAATGCAAGTAATCAAATTCAGAGTCTTATTAGAGTATATGTTAAATTTATATTTGGTTTTCTAATGCTTCAGAATAAAATATCATTAAATATTGGTTGAAATAATAATAAAAACAGTCTGCTAAACCTGAAAAGACATTTTATTGTCTTTGTACACTTCACCCAGTTGTTTTTAAAGATCTATTCTAACAGAATAAATCACCTCTCCTTAATTAACTGCTAACTCTAAAAGTCACTGCTTTTAGTGCCATATCTTCATTTAAATGCTAAACAAAGGCCAATTTCAAAGTTCTACATTGCCAGCAATCTGCAGCTTCAGTGCAACAGTAACAATATTGGACCTGAAAACGGCACACTAAACAAACCCAAGTTACAGTACAAACCCAGGCCAATTACCAGAAATCTGTGTTAGCGGACCAAAAAAAAAAAAGCAACAAAGACACATTTTCAGCACGCGGTCTGAATAGAGCTGTGTGAGATTCCTCGAACCATGTTAAGTCTGCGTTTTGCAAGCTGCCAGCAAAATAACAGGCGTGTTGCACATCAGGCCAAGGCACTTCTGACTAACTCTACCTGCAGCCCCCACAGCGGGAACCCAAACCCTCCAGTAACAGACGATGCGGGTCATTAGCGTGTCTATAACATGCTGTGAATTGTAATGTCAAAGCAAGGTTTGTCACCATTTAAAAAAAAAAAAAAAAAAATCCCATGCTGTTAACCAGCTTATGGCATAATATTGGTTTCACAGCACAGACCTGTTCACTGTAGTTTAATCATTAAAACCCTCACACCTAATTGCCTAAAGTCTTCACCACTGACTGAACTGTCAACAAACACACACATTATTGAGGTCCCTTCATGCTGTTGGGGCCCAGGGCTTTTATTTTGATGAATGCAGCCCAAAACATTCTTGACAAATAGTTTACACATTGTATTGATCCACACTATTCAAAAGGATTTCAACTGGGACGACTTCCTCAGTTTGTGTAGGGATACGATAATTCCAGATACACACACATCTCAAATAAATCTGACAGTGATATTTCCAGAAGATATTGATTTACTCGCTCAAGAAATCCCTTCAGTTGACGTCTTGTCATCCATTCTGATCAGTAATGTTGTCCCGGGCCAAAGGACAACCTACGTTCCCACAGCAAATAAATAACAGCGTTTAGATTTGTTTTTGATATTGAAATTGGCGGAGGACCAATGCATTTTCTTAAAGCCACAAACCATAAACTGCCCCCCAAAAAAAAAAAAAAAAGAAAAACAGCTTGGCACATTTGGACTGATTTTTAGTGTCTTCTGCAAAACTAGAAATGGCACTTTCCCCTTCTATTACGGTTTGTGGAACTGAGTAATATTAGTGTCCATAGGTTTACAGTGTGTGTTATTGTGTCTATTATTGTCCTAGCACTTCACATTAGGTATTACAAAAATCCAAGACTTTTTCTTTTAAAATAAAGAGACGTAATGTATTAATAAAAACTATAATAAAATAAAGACATTTTCTCTTTTTTATACTATTCAAATAAATACTTTGTAACTATATTGTAAGTATACTGTAATTACATTTCCCCCTGCACTGAAGAATTCCCCTTTCCTTAATAAAGTGTTATTCTCCATTGTCTATAAAACAGCAATCCATAAAATCTATTTGTCCACCATGACACTTTGATATGACTTAAACAAGACGATTTACAGAGATGCCTTTTGTCATTATGTCTCAATATGCTTCAACATCCGAGTAAAATTCTTTTTTATTTTGAAAGGCAGTCAGCTATGTGATGCTCAGATATTTCAGACCGTATCAGGACTGTCGAAAACTAAACACACAATTTTCTTTGTTTGCTACATTACCCTGAATTCCCGACGTTTCCAAAATGGAGTGAAGAGGGAAAACTTGAGGAGGAGGAAGGGATTTTTAGAAAGAGCAGCTGTTTCTTTTTTTTTCAGCAAAAAGGTGTTCACTTTGGCACCACATTGCTGAGTCTACCTCCCAGTAAATTCCACTTCCTTTTTAAAAAACCCACAGCTTAATTTTGCTACAGAGTAAGAGACAAACTAAAGCAAATGTGCCGAACACAACGTGAGTGAAAACTGTGACAAACATAAGAAGAATGCTTTGATATTTTTCAAAAGGAAAACCAGAAAATCACTTTAGCGTTCTTCATTGAAACCAAGGGACAGAGCTCCTTTGGTTTCAATGAAGTTAGCAAAAAAGCTGTTAGCTGGAGAAAAGTCAAGGCGTCCTCTTTTTTTTTTTTTTTTTTTTTTTTAACACAGAGCCCCCACTCAGGTTGTGGTTTACAGTTCCTGCCTACAAATGGGAACACAGAAAAGCACTGCACGTACGATACAATACGAACAAGATTACTATGATTCCTCAGGCAAAACGGGAGGGTCTCCATTAGTAAAACCTGATAGCGGGATTCACTACCTGCTGCTCAAAGTGTCTTCCTGCACAGAGCCCCAGCTTCGGACGTAGCTTTTAATGCAGCAATGAACACTTGAGACGAGTAGAGAATCAGCGAAGTGATGGTGTCCTGTGTGGTTGAAGGGATGAACAATGTGTTGACTTTTTTTTTTTTTTTTTTTTTGGTCAGATATGCATGTTTGGACGTTAAATGCACTGGTATATTTCATGTTAAGAACAATGAAGTAATGGAGGGGGTTAAGGGATGATGACTAATAAGACGACAATGACATCATTACGCTAAAGGTTTTGGTCTCGTTCCTTTTCGCTTCTCTGCTCATCTCTGGTCCAGTTCCACGCTCTGCTCGTCTCGGGCCACCCTCACCTCGTTCCGTCCATTGGGCTCGGCTCCGGCGTCGGCTGGGACTTGACAACAGACCCCGGTTCGCTTGGCGCCGGGCCGGGGCATCAGAAGAGGCCCCCGGGCTTCCAGGCGGCGCTGTGGACCAGGCAGGTGCAGCACTGTATGGCCTGCCACCAGCTTTGGCAGTTCAAGGGCTCCACGTTGGCCTTGGCCATCATCACTTTGGAGCTGGAGGTGCTCACGCCCGACTGGTTCTCGGTCTTCACCGATCTGCTGAAGAGAGCACAAGTAAGAGAAATGCACAGGCCTGCTGAAGAGTTTATCTCCATTATGGCCAGATATATTGGAATCTGCATTTAGGAAACATTAGGTCGTCCACCAGAGAGCACTGACAATAAACACATTTTATGTAATTTGGATTTATAGTTTATTTTTTATTATTTTTTTAAATAAATGACTGCACGGCTTAAAAATATTTGAGTCATCGCTGTGCCTCCAATCACTAGAGGGATTTATGTATTGATTAATTGGAGCTGGAAAGGAGGTTTTCAAGTATTTACACTCTCCTGACAGCCAAGGCACCATGGATTTTTAATGTTCTATTAGCTAGCAGTCCTTGTTTTATATTTAACGTCCCATGCTATTTTTCAAAAACCTTGAGTAATTTTCGTCTGTTTATTTTACAAACTTGTGCACCTTCTTTAGCATTTATTTGAATTCATATTGGACGGCGCTTTGGATGAATGCATCACAATAAAAGGCACATTCAGGATACATCTTTGGTAAAAGCAGCTGCTTGCATGGGACCACCACTGTCAGGAAAAAAATCCCAAGGAGAGGATATTTTAGTGAACTTAAAATACTACAGCACAAACCTGCAAAAACGTTGTCAATATACGCAGTCCTGCGTCCTCAAATACAGAAACCTTGCCACTGCAACATCAAATTCTTTCTTTAATAAACCTCTCGTTCCTGCTTGTAGCATTTGACCCATTTTGATGCCTCTGCTCTTCCCAGATTGACAGTAGCGAGTTCATCCACTGCAAAGAGATGGTGGACGAGTACCTACACAGCCTGGAGTTCTCCCTCCCGACCAACGCGGTCTACATCTTCGACAGCGCCCAGATCCAAGACGAGGAGCGAGCCCCGAGCCCCACGCAGCGCCTCAGGCACGCCAGGAGGGCGCGGGGCGGCGGAGAGCAGGGGGACTCTGATGAGTATTACGACGGTTTTTGGTGTCTGTACAACGAGGAGACGACTCCAGGGGCAGAGGGGAAAGGCGCCGACAGCTTGTTCGCTTCCCAGCAGAAAAACGCCTCACCCTGCCCGCCGCTGCACCCCGCCGTCAACTAATCAGACATTTATTCACACCGACCACCTCTTTACAAGTGCACAGTGCTCCCAAATCACAGTGAGAATGTAATGAGTACTGTAACTCGGCACATTTTACGGCCTCAATATTGTAAGTTTCACTGGGCACTCTGACTTTAATCCAGATGTTACTCACCTGCCATGACATTTAGGAACTGATACTAAAGATTTAAGAAAAGGCAGGAAAAAAAATTTCTCTACGGCCTGGCTGGGGTCAGATTTAAATATTGTTTTAGTCTCTTTTGTGCAGTTGTCTGCACCCAAATGTGAATCTGGAGGTGTGTATGCGTCAGTGTTCGCGTCAGCCTCTTATTCTGATGCCATAACTGGTTCTTTTGTGTTGATGCGCAGTTAAGGAGAAAATGTGGGGACTTGTTGAGCCTGACTGAATCAAGATTTGAATGTTTCTCCATAGTTATTGGTCCATTAAGTTCTCTACCTTTTTTTTCTACATATTTGTTTTCTACTTTTTAACCTACCTGTACTTTATATCCACCGCAAGTTTTGTCTAACAAGTTGAAGGGTTAAGTTGTGTATGTGTGTGTGTGTGTGTGTGTTTTTATTATGAGTGTGGTTGAGGCCAAGAATGGCTTTTTTTTTTTTTTGTTTGAGAGTTGATCCTGATTTTGTTCGGAGGGTATCTTGGTGCTCAGGTTCCACCCAGAGCTACATAGCACTTTGAGATTAAGACAAGCTTTTTTCTTCTTTTTTTTTTTTTTTTTTTAATGCAAATAATTATATTTTTTCACAACCTTTTTTATTCTTTTAATCTCTTACTTGTACTAAACATTCTTGTGCTGTGTTTTTATTTACCAGTTATTTACAGAAGTTGCATTTGACAAAAAAAAGCTTTAATTTCATGACTAAATGCTGCAAATGATTTTATTTCATGAACGCTTCCGCCTGTGTTGATTTTTTTACTTTATGCAACTGTTGTTACATATCAAGCAAGTGTACCTTTTGGTGGGATTAGTTCAACACTAGAGCAGAATGACAAAATTAATTGGTTGCTTTGACATCAAGAGATTACCAGATCCAGCATCAATGTTCTCATTTAAATGTTCAATATATTTTCTTATTAAATACTGTATGAGAGCACCAATAATCATACCACAAATATTTGTCATATTATTGATAATGAAGTATCGGGATAAAATTATCCTTTTTTTTGTTGTTTTGTTTTTGTAAATACCTCCTAGTTCTGTCAGATGTCAGTCTCATCATGTAAGACATGTAAGCTGAACATATGTTTCGATTTAAAAGTGTATTTAACGTTGGCTCATACATGAACAGGTAGTGTCCAAACAGTTGAAGCCTGAAGACATTAAACAGACTTTTTTTATTTTCATTCTTTGACTCTAGACTGCTGAAATTGTTACTGTGTTCAGGAGGAAAACCAGCAATGTTATCTTCAATGTGAACTGGTTACTGTCAGTTTTCTCCACTGTAAAAGTCTGCTTTGGTTCAACCAGTCAAGCTGGATGCAACACCGGTGACCAATTTAAAGGTGTTTTTTTTTTTTTCTTCACATATTCCTTCATTTACTGAGGCAGCTAATCTTATCGTCTAGTCAAACACAGAAATAAAGCTATGACTTCAAAAGTCTAAAGTGTCGTTTTCTGGTCTGTCAACCTCAACTTCTCAGCCTTCATCTCTTAAAACCTTGAGTAAACCTCCCAAATGACTGAAATCACCAAGGTGTGCAACCATGTCCTATATGTAGAACAGACTGTCGGAGAGCCATTATCACTTGACTGCGTTGGTGTACTTAAGGATAGAGAACAGAGAGCTCTGAACAGACTGTACCGCTGGATGAGATCCAGTGAGCCCTGCAGGTGGTGGACAGAATAATGATAGTGCTGGCAGGGCCTTCACAGTAAACACAAAAACCATTACATGGCGAAGATCTTATAGTAATATGCTGCAACTTCCTCTGTCTGTTTTCAATAAATCACATGCTCTGTGTTGTTAAATAAACATAATGCAGGAAATGACTCAATAACTGAGCAGTGGTTGAAGTAGTCACCTTGGGCTCTATCAAACTGTGGTGGGTGGCTTTTTTTAAGCTGTTTTCTGATGTTTTACCAACCAAGCCATGAATCATTTGACTGAGGGAAAAAATTTACAGATGAACTGATAATGAAAACAATCTTTAGTTGCAGGCCGAATAGATTCTAATTATTCCAGATTATTACCGACCCAATCAAGCAAAAACAGTACTGTTTGTGTGTCACGTCAATACAACCGTGTTTAGTATTTAAATGAGCAAGTACTCAGCTAGAATGTCCTAACACAACCTACATCCTCCACTCGATGTTGCAAACCTTTAGCATTTTCATAGAATGAAGAAAAGCTGCCAGGGAGATGAAGCTGTTACTGAGTGTTGAAATTCAGCCATTTTAAGCAGTTTTAAACAAAAGCAACAGCTGGCTACAGTTTGTGTTAACACACAAACTGTATACACACCTACACACACAGTCAACCAACATCAGCCCCCTTTCACACACACTTCATCCACTGACATGCAAAGTCAATACATTTTACATATTTCTTTTTCTCCACCTCTGGCAAACACTCTGTAAACGTGCCGTTTTGCACACTCACACTCACACCCCCAAGCTTAGGTCAGCAGCACGGGGAGGATTGTGTGCAGACTGAGCTCACCTCCCTCGGCTCTTCAGTCAGGGATCGCTAAACAGGAAACGGCATTCTCAAGCTGACAGCTGTTTGGGTTACAGTTGAGGCTGACAGCCTCTGCGTGTTGCCTTTGTGTGTGAGGGAATAAGTGTCTTCACCTGCCTGTGTTTCCCTTTCATCTCCCCCCGGATGAATATCGTCAAACAAATCATGGCAGAGAGACACATCAAAGTTGGGAGGGGGGGGTTGCATTTATTTCCAACGACAGACAGTAAATACAGCTGCTCTCTTCTCTCCATCTCTGAGTGTAAACTCTTCTACAGCGAGCTGAGGCTTCTATGTTTTCCTGAATCCTCTGTGTGTGTGTGTGTGTGTGTGTGTTTGTGCGCGCATACTGGCTTCATGTTTGTGTCCATTGTCACAACACTCACATCAAGGCGATCACTCATGGTTTACAATAAAGTTACATTACTTATGGACAATGTACACTGTCATATGTGCTTCTTACAATAATATCATATTCAAAAACTAGTACATTTTGCATATTAAGCTGGGAAAGCTCTAGAAAATATTCACATACATGTATTGAGTTAATATGAAACAGCACCAGAATATTGCATACGTTTTTATTAAGACTTAAGACTAAGTTTTAAGTTGTCAGTACCTATGTATATGCAGTGATATATACACAGTATACAGGTACTCAGTTTTATTGCTTGACATAATGCTATTTAAATGTATTATTTGGGCTCATTTGATACAGGATTTATTCTACTGTGAACCGTACTTAACATAAATTCTAAAGATTATAGAAAGGTTAACAGACATACCACAACTGGACAACATTTCAAACAGCTCGTGTATTTAAAAAAAACTTAAGGAAAGGCTTTTTTTACTGATATCTTCAATTATTAATTTGAATGCCAGTCCTATAAAATTAAGCATAATTAGAATTTTTTTTTAAATACATCTTGAATGGTTTCAAATGACTTGCCGCTGTGTTACACTGTAGTACCCAAAAGGTTTGAAGGGCTTCTCGTTTCTGTGTGAATAGTTGATGGCAAAAAAAACCAGAAAATCTTTAAATCACAACATAGAAAAACAAAATGCATATATATATAAAAAGTGTCCAAAAAAACAACAACAAAACAACAAAACAACAAAAAACAGAGAATGAAAGATCCTGAATAAATGAGATGGCCACTGTTGGCAATTTCCTCTTTATCTCTCACCATCTTTCCCTCTTTTCTCCCCTGTGGCTTCATCACCATCATCATCACCATCATCATTATCCTCAGTGTCTTTGGTCCATGTGCACAATGTCAAGATGGAATGTCAAAACAAAAAACAAACAAACAGACAAAATAAACAGGTGTTGTCGTTGTATGGTGATGGAGGACAAATCCATGGTCGTGTGTGGGAGGGTATACAGCGCCCATAAATTAACTGAAAAACAATGACAAACAATAAACAAAATAAATTGAATGAATAAACAACTACTTTATGGAAATAATAAATGCGTAATAAAAAGATTTCAAGCTTTACAGACAACTAATAAAGTAGCACTGAAGCAAAGAGGTGGTGCAGTTAAAGTAAATACCAGTGCTTGTGTTAGTGAAGAGAAAACAGAAGTGTGAGCCATCACCACTACATTCAATATGATGTAGTTAATCTGTCAGTGGGGGGAGCTCTAAGTTCTTCTTCTCAAACATCACTCCTGAATGCTACATTTCATCTGCAATAAAGTTTAATATACGTAATACGTTTCCTCAAGTGTGTCAGAAAAGAGAGTAAATCAATCGCATAACAAGCAGACTAAGGATCTGTGGAATCGCTTTCACTAAACCACAAAATGGAAGATCAGTTTCCTACAGCCGCACTGATAACAAAGTGTGTGAGCAGCCACAAGATGGAGCCACATGTCCTCACATGAGTTCTCACATTTCAGGCCTCAGACATAAACTACGTCCAGTACACTTCACTGTCACATCATTTGTCCAAAGCTTAGTGTACGTTTTCAGATCATTTTCCAACCTCCCAGACAGCCATCAGCTTCAGTTATTCTCAGCACAGCTTGAAGCTGAACTCACAGATACAAAACTGTATTTACAGTTGTCTAATTTTTTCTAGGATTTCTTCTGAAAACACTTCTTTGGTGGTGCGGTGATGGGAAACACTGCATACGTTAGCTACAAAGTGGCTACCTGAACCTGAACCATATGTGACGGGTATATATGCTGTAATTGATGATGCTGTGACGGCAGGGATTTGCACCCATTCAGCCACAAGATCTTTAGTGTTGATGTTGGCTGATGAGGCCAGGCCTTCTGTCTGCACTTCAATTTTTCCAAAAAAAAGTGTTGGAAAGTATTGAGGTCAGGAAGCAGTCAAGTTCTTACACATTTCTTTATGGCCGTCAGGTCTGATGAACAGGTCTGTCTACATAGTTTTGGCCACATAGTGTACATTGTTGGTAAAACAAAACCAGAAGAAGCTGCGGGTTCCTTGAAGGTGCATACAAGGATTTTTTAAACTACTGCTACTACTCTATGTACTAAAGATAAGAAAGTGAAGGTGACATGACTTTAATGGGTTATTGAATAATGAGCCTGCGACATGTCTGTCGGTGTCACACTATACTGAAATGAACAGGAACCAATGGCTGTCTGGAAAAATAAAGAAAATGGTCTCCAGTGCAGTGAAATAAAAAGCCTGAATTCTAGTTACACCTGCGTGTGTGTGTGTGTGTGTGTGTGTGTGTGTGTGTGTGTGTGTGTGTGTGTGTGTGTGTGTTTGTGTGTGTGTGTAAGCACCATCAGCATACCCCTGACTGAAAATCAGTTTAGCGCTGTGTGAGCTGCATTCTGCATCACCTATTTATGAGCCAAGCTTTCGATTGCCTCGGCGAGTGAGTTCACTGACTCCTCCCTGAATATCCTGAATAATTAGAGCAAGGCAAAAGGAAAGAGTGAAAGGACAGGAAATGTTAAGCTTGGGCAGGACAAAAAGGGGAGGAAGTTTCCTTAACACATGCCAGGCATTTATAATAGCTTAAATGCTTGTGTGTTGGAGATAGGTCGACAACTGCGCAGCACATTCAATTAAAGGTTGGTTGCAGCAGAATGCAAACCTCCTGCTAAAAGAACTTGTGACAGGGGTTAGAGAGCAAACAGAGAAGAGACGAGAGAAGCTGGTGTACAGAAAGGCGAATCATTTCAGGATTTAAGGCCCAGATTAAGAAACAACAGGGTTAGTCGAAAGAAAGGAGCAGGGTTGGAAAAAGCAGCTTTCTGTTATGGAGAATAGAATGAGGTGAGTGTAGGGATGGGACGATATTAGTGCATAACGCAATAAACAACACTATCGTGATAATGGTGAATATCTTGACATGGCCAGACTTTAAAAGGCTGTCTAGCTCACGTCTTTCCAGTCATTCCAAAATCCAAATCCTGTCACCGTGGATGAAGGCTTGGCTTGCCTGTTTAATCTCCCACCAAAAGAAATGGTATAGATTCCAAAATAAAAGAACACAACAAATATATTTTCATGATTATCACGATAATATTGTGTTTTGTGATTATTTTGGCCAAGATAATCGTGACATTTCCATATCGTCCCATGCCAAGGTGAGTGAGTGAGTGAGTGAGTGAGAGTGATAGAGAGAAGGGACTGACTTACTTTTTCTTGTCCTTGTCTTTCTTGAGGGGCTGAGATAAGGAGAGCGTCTCGGCTGCCACCTTCTTCCTATTGAAGGCGTTCATCTCCTCCTCCAGGTCTCTCCGCTTCTCCTCCACCTTCCTCTTCTCCTCCTGGTGCATCCGCTTCAGCTGCTCGAACTTGTCGTGCAGCTGAGAGGGAACAGTGGTGATGGGACAGACAGGTGAAAGAAAAGATATTCGGAAGTTAGAACAGGGACATGAACACCCTTTCTGAATTTTATTTCATAGGGATGTTATGAAAAATTCCTAATTACCCACATCCCTCATGTCGTCCCTCAAGTAAATACTGTACTGGAAACAACTGCTTTTAATTATTGTGCTTCTAGAGTCTGGAATAAGTTTCAAGGAACCATCAAGTTGAATGCTACAAATCTCAAATTCAAATGGTCAAATGATTTAGATGTAGAGGCCTGTAAATGCTTTAAAGAGTGTTACCATGGCGTCTTTTAACTTGAATATGTTCTTATTTATTATGTTACAATTGATGCATACCTTTTCTTGCACTTTATGACTTTTGATGATTGTTTTTACCTTTATTTAAGCATGTATTTTTATTGTTTTGTGATTTATTGCATGTACGTTGTGTATGCAGGGCACCATTGAAAATGAAACCTCTGTCTCAATGAGTTTTCCCTGGCTAAATAAAGGTTCAATAAAATAAATAAATAAAGATTTGATTTGGACTGTAGTGCTAGGCGGCATGACAAAAATTTATATCATGGTATTTTTTTAAGATTCTGGCGGTTTATCACAGTCTATTTCAAAATGTATTTATTTTGCATGACTGGCCCTTTATATAGGTTTATAGTGGCTTATGCTATTGTCAGGAGTACATAGAATATATAGTATATACTGAAGGCTTTCATTACTATAGGGTTTTTTTGGTCCCACAAAATGATACAATATGTAAAGGAATCAGAAAATATTGCTTCATTTTCAAATTATTTAAATGTTCTGTTGCACAAGAAATCAATTAGTTGCAGCAATTGTATTAACCATGCACTCACTCAACTAACAAAAGCGGTTCATCGAGCATATTGCCCAGCACTACTGATCAATATTTTCTGACCTTCTGTCCTCAGTGCTGCTATTGTGCCACATTATCATATACACACACACACTTGTGACTGACCTCTCTCTCCTTTTCTTTCAGTTCTGCTTCCGTCTCTTTTACTTTGTTGACAAACATTTGTCGCATTTCTTCCTCTTTACGCTGCAGGTCCCCCAAGAACTCTTTCCTCTTGGCCTCATATGTCTCTTGAAGACTGGAGAGAAGAATAGACAGGATAGAAGAGAGAGTGAAAATAGACAGGAAAGGATTAGGCATTGTCTCTAAACAATACAGACTCTCCCTGCGGTTGACACTCTGTCAACCGCGCTCTGTGGTTTTGGATTTTGTGTGCGCGTGTATGCTCTTTCACTCTTCAAGCACTCTACCTGAATGGCTGGCTGTCAGGATCCGTATCCTTAAAGCCCATCTCCTCCAGCTTACAGCGTCGGTACAGTTCATAGTGGCGGGCGTGGGTCTGCTCCCTCAGATCCTCCATGTTGACTCTGATCAGCATCTCTCGGAGTTTTACAAAGTCGCAGTGACTCTCGTTCTCAACTGAAGGAAGAATACACACCAGAATTAGTACAGCAGCTGCGGATCAGGTGATCATCTTAGTTACTTCCAATAAACGTATGTATTAGAATGTAAAAGTTAGTTTTGTTTATGATTATGCTACAAATATGCAGCCATGTCTTGTTTCAAGTTCTGAGTCTTTGCTACTCGCTTTTATTCTGTGCCTGGCTGTCTTTTTCATTGCTTTCAACTTATTTTAACACCCCATCTGTCAACCAGTTACCCTCCCTTCCTCTCCATTTCTCTCTCGAAAGCAGGAAATCATACCACATCTCTACAGGAATGTGAAGTAGTCACTGGAGAAATCACATTTGGAATCCATTAAATCAAGCCAGTTGTTAAATTGAAAATATTCTGCACTTTTTGTGGTAAGTGATTTTAACAACTTCACTTTACTTTCACGTCTGAGTGACTCTCACACTTAAATGAATTCATGGTGGGGAAAGGGCAGGAAGCGTTTCCTGCCTGACACACTGACAGCAGGGAAGCCCTGGGCGTCATTTCCGTTCTGATGAAGCCCTTTTACTCATAGGTCACCTCATTTACTCCATCGCCACAATATGGGCTAAAAACGATTTATTTATTTTTTTTGTCGATGTGGGAAGGGCAAATGGACAGGGGCGCGTGAATGTGGACTGAACCCGTCTCTACTGTGAATCAACCACCGGTCAAATGTGGTCTGGATAAAACAAGTGGGAAATAATATGGCACTGCATACGCTGCTAGTCAGCCACAGGGTTTCTGCAGGATTCACCAAGTTAAATTTAAGACTTTTTAAAACATTTTTAATATCATATAAATGATTATTATTAAAGCCAAAGTGTAAAAGTATGATGGAAAAGTTGGGAACTATTTATTGCTACATCATGGTCTTGACTACTAACGGTAATTGAGTGAATACTCAATTAGTAGTTAAGTCTGCTCATTGTTGATGAATGCACTGAAATAAATTAAATGAAACAAAAACCCTGAAGATCACAGAACTGATTGTAGTCTTTCAGTGCCCTATCGCTGAACACCACTGGACGGCTACTGTAACACACAAGCTACAACAATCACACTCCCCGTCTGAACTTACTGATACTACCGGTATGAATAAGCAATCATCTCATATCCCATTCCTTATTCAGTGCAGCCGACAGTAAGTGACACATGCCCTATTTTGTTAGTGAAAGTCTTGAGATTGATGACAATGACATGGCTGGATAGCTAGCTAGTCTTGTTGTTAAACATATGGTCAAATTATATTTACTGGAGCAGTGAACATATCAAGTGACCATGGTAGGAATTCTAAATAATGAAAAGTGGAATAATGCCCTTCAAGGAGTCCTTAATGAGGAATTAATGGACAACAGGGAAGCAAGAACTGTCAGACGCGCAGTGGGGTACACCTCATCGGCCATTATTTCTTACTTGTATCACATTTTTTCTACGGCAGGCAAGATGCCTTTTGCAAATTAAGACTTCAAGACCTGCAGATACCCTGCAGCCAGAATCATTTCTACTGGCTCTCCCCTTCTGTAGAATTTTTTTTTTTTTTTAAATCACTCCTCCCTTTATAAAATAAAGTTTTCCCTTTGTGACGTTATTTTCCTTCCATTCATCGACTTGATAATACCTTCGTCTATAGTCTATGTGGAAACTTGGAAAGCTGATAATCATTTGATATGCCCAATCCCCCCCAAACTTTTGAATGCAAAGTACTAAAAACCTGGAGCACCACCTAAAGCAGCTTTGATCCGGTGTATAACTTGATACATCAGCCAGCTAATCGAGGACAAACTAGAATGGCTCATTAAAATGGGAGTGCGCTGTCAGAGGGGAAAAACAACTTTCCCCTTTCAGGAAGTTAATGTGGTCAACCTGTTAGCAATCCTCAGAAAGATGCTAAAGATGCCTTCCAGGAACATATGCCGTGATCCCCTTGGGTAGCAGTGGTGCAGAATAAGATGTAAGTTGTGTTTAAATACCATCACAAGCTGTGAGCTCTGTGGATGTTAAGACAGCAACAACTATATTGAAAAAGTCCAATTAGGATGGCATTTAGCTTCTCCTGGTGGAAAATGCTGGGAAAGCAGCCTGCAGTGCATGAAATTGAACAAAAAAAATGCACCAGTCAAAGTGCCTAAACAACCCAAACATTCAACCCAAAGAAATAAGACTTTCTTTCATTAGAAGAGAACAAAAAAAATATAAAAAATACATTTTTTAAAAGATGTGAAATAGGAGCCGTGATGCAGCTGGTTTATTTTTACACAAATTTGCTGGTTGACCACACATCATTAGTGGGAATATACGAGTTAAAAACAGAAATGAAGTGTTCTCTGGGGCTGCATCCAGGCTACTGAAATTGCCTTTTCATTTGGCATCTAATAGCCTCTCTGTACTGGCCCCCCGCTGAGGGTTGAATGAGGGCCAATCCTCTGACTGACTGCAGCACTGAGCCCTCAAGATATCGGAGCACAGGGCTCTGCAGACACACACTCACACAAATACACACACACAGAAGCATGAGAACGGAAACATACAGAAATGGAGGAAAATAGATGAATGGTTGCAAATAAATCTTCAGTATACATTTTAAAACACCATGTTGCAGACAGAGTGGTAGACAAATAGCATGGTGAATAGAGTTAACATATGTGGTAGACCCTGGTCCTCGAATTATGTGGTACGCAAGTCCCTAAATACTACACAATTTAGAATGAAACTACTTAAACTACAAGATCACTTTAGTGTCATTTAAAATAAGTTTTGCAATTGCGGTAATATTTTGTCTCAATATCAGCCTGCTACGAACATCCATGAACGTAGCACACTCATGCGTCACAATTAATGACGAGCAAAAATTTGATGGCAAGGTAGTAAGTGGATGGAAAATCAATGGTTCAAGAAACACTGCAATTGTGGCTCCAGGTGGGAACTATGGGAAGAGAAGTGTGGACCAGAGGACCTCTCTTCCACCAAATGATCTCCAGTTGAACTAGTAGAACTGGTTCCGTTCAGGATTCACAACAATACATTCTTATTAGAGGTTATCTGAGGTGGTACATGGTGTAAAATCACCATTCACCATCTGGAGGCCATGAATGTTTATACAATATTTGATAGCAATAAATCAAATAGTTGTTGAGATAGTCAAGTGGCAGACCAAATGACCAGCCCACTGACAGACCAATATTGCCCTTGACAGAGCCAAAGGAGCTCAATATCTTGATTTTCACATCTTTTTTTATTCATGAATTTATAGATATTATCATTGTTAAGTGTGGCTGTATGGTTTGCAGTGTATCTCAAGATGGGTTTTGGTGGGACAGTCTAAGGGAAAACTCCAGGAATGACTTTGACTCATACGTAAGAGCCAGTGAGGACACATAGATGATGTTGGATTCTTATGAATTAATAACAACATGACCAATAAACTAAACCTAAGGTTGAGTGATAATTCAGTATAATTTATTAGCTTTCAGTGAAAGAAAGTTATAAGTCATTGTTTACCACAGTTCTATTGTCTAAATTACTCATAAAAAACTTTTGGATATGTGAAGTGTAATAGTAAATAATCGTTCATTGTACTGAACATCAATTCATTTTAGGTGATTTTACATAACTGACATATTGTCTTGACATTGATATTTGAAGAAAAAAATGTAATCTACAACTGAGAGTCAGATTCAAAGTAAGTGTAACAACATCCATGTTCACATACAAACTACAATATGTGTGCACAGTTGAACTAACAGTAGGCTGCAGAGTATAAATATCAGGGGTCTGCTATATGTCACAGATGTCTGGAGAGATAACAGAGCATCAAGATCCTGAGGGAAGATAAACAAACACACACACACACACACACACACACACACACACACACACACACACACACACACACACACACACACACACACACACACACACACACACACACACACACACACACACACACACACACAGAGAGAGAGAGAGAGCCTCCTTCAATTAGTCTTTTTATTAGTAGACAGTCCTCCCTCTGTCTTCCTTCAAGTCGATGGAAATTTCCCATGGCTGTTCGAGAGGTTACCATAACCCATCTATATGACATCTGGCATCTACAAACTGTTTCCACTGACACAGGCCTTCCTTTCAGCTTGCCAAGTGTAGTAAAGCACTGAGACATCTGTCCTCCTCTGCCCCTATCCTCAGATACTGTGACAAAGTGGTTGTGGTTGTATGAATGGTGAGCCATCAGTTTGCAAGCAGGCCTGACTAACAGCAAAGTAGTTTGTAGTATTACCTGTCATCAGTCCAGATTTTTGTTGTTAGGCAGAAATGGACATGGTTGATAAGATAATTAGATGCAGACAATAACAAAACCAAAAAACTAAGAAAAACTAAAATACAGTGTACATTAGGTGTTTACACCCACAATGTCAGTTTCTTCTTTATTATCTACTTCCTGTTAATTCATACAGAAGAACAACAAAATAAGGAATACATCATTTGAACTGAGTTTACAGTAAAGCTGAGATAACGTTTTGCAGCTGGCACTATTCTGTATAGTCCGGACTGGACTATAGCTTGATGGTGACTGATGGAGTCCAGAGGAATCTGTACCCTGGAGACACACAGAAGGCTTTATAAATAACCATAGCATGTCCTCTGAGGGTTGGGGAATGAGAGTGGTCAGTGGATAATGGAGAGAGGGAAGGAAGAGAGGGTGAGGACACAAGAGCAGTAAACCGAAGAAAGGAAGGAAGAGAGAGAGCTGGCCCAAGACCGAGAGAGAGAAAGAGCTTCTCTGAGAGTATAACTCCCATCTAAGTGGTAATATTCTCAAAGCACAACTCTTTGTGACATTATTGAATTAAAATGTTTACTCTAATTGACAAGGCACAGGGGAATGAGCTGTGGGAAACAAAGATCCCAGGATCCCTGACACAATAAGTCTACATGGTCAACGCATGCACGCAGACACAAAGGCAAAGAAACATAGAGTACATGCACACGAAGAAGGACATACAACACCATACGCACCACAAGCACGCACGGACTCACACTGGCGACCTCCCAAAACAATCTCACCCACTCGCCCTTAATTTTGCAGTGTCACTCAGCATGAAGTCACACTCACAGCTGCGGCTGGGCACTCGCGCATTAAAAGGGAGGGTTTAAATAAAGGGGCGAACTGTGGGGCGCCTGCGCCACACTGCCATGAGCAGAAAAACATCTTTTACAATGGACACTGACAGACGCCTTGCTGAATTATATTATGTGCCATTTCCTCCAAGCGCAAAACATCCATAGCATTAAAATTGACATATGTAGGGAAGTTAAATTATATAAGTTTACTCCATTCTCCTGCATGTGTGCTTGATTAATCATTTAGTCTATGAAAGATCAAAAAGTAGTGAAAAGCACCCATGAAACATTCCCACAACCCGAGGTGATGTCTTCAAATTGCTTGATTTCCTTTACTATCATAACTGATAAAAAGAAATACCAGCAAATGTTTGCAATTCTTCTTTAAAAATTACTGAAATGAATAATCAATTGTCAAAATAGCTGCACAGAGAACACAGCAAGGCTGCAGGGCCGGAGAAAGACTGAGCCATGTACTTCCTCAAGAATGATCCACCCATGACCACTTTCAGACACATTTACAATTATTATAATTAATAATTAATCAATTTTGGTATAATAAAGACTGTACCACAGCTTAAGTGCTGACATTGCTCCTCTATGTGTTGAGTGGCCAATGAATGAATGTCAATATCTCGTGATATAGCACTCCTCCCACATTTCCACATGTATCGCTCCGCCTCATTTAATACTTGTAACCCAGCAACCTAATAAACAGCTAGTAGATATAGAAACTAATTGGGATCATCAGATTTATTTAGGGCAAAAATTAATTACAACTATTTATCACAACAAATATGTTGTTTTTTTTAATTTGCAAATCCTGTTTAGCTGTCAAACATAACAACTACTGTTCACGGCCTTTCTGTTGCTTCATTAGAGGCAAGGGAAGTCATGACTGAAACCACACAGAGATCAGCACAATTCTCGACTGTTACTCGTGACTGGCAGGAAGTGGCTGAGTTATTATTTTTTACATAGTTGTCCAACTGACTATGTTAATGAAACTGTGGTATCTTACCAATAATATACTTCAGACTTAATACTTGTGCTTATGATCGTAGCACCACTATCACAGTTTGGCACTCTCTCTGTGTTATTACTTAAAACATCCATTCTGTGGCAGTCTAGAGAAAAGCGTTAAACATCCACTGACTCCTTCATGTACTCATTGTTTTGTTCGCTTGAGAACTCCCACCAATACAGATTAACTTGCTTGTAAATGGTTCTCACCTTGCACGACACCCCAGGGGTACTGTCTGGCCCTCACGGTTTTGTTTCCCCACTTTGACCTCTTCCACGCTCCCAACCACAGCAAACGGCAGATGGGCCTGCACAGGAAAAGACATTAGAGTGTTAAAAAGGTCAAGAGGGCAAAAATGTAACTGGAGCCATTGCCAGCTCCTTCTTTCGCCTGGGTTACACTTTCTTAAAGAGTTTTTTTTCCTAGTTTCTTTACAACACAGCAACCATTTCCCAAATTAGATTCCACTACACACAACCATGCTACATACATATAACGTATATTATTATACATTAACATAATGTATATTGAGGGTTTAATTTCAGATAAAACCTATGCCACTGTGCCTGTTGTCTCCTTTATCTTTCACAATTAGACCGCACTAGAGAGAAGTGGAACCATGTTGACATATGAGTTGCACCAGAGCTCTTTTAATTTTAATATGTGGCTCAGTTGGGGCTCAGAGGACTATTTTGTTGTACACACTTTCCTATTGCTCTCATAGCTACTATGCCTCATTTAGGGTCGACAGCAAAGGCAAAAAATATGCCCGATACGCAACCTCAAAAATTAGGTGGAGAGTTGAAACCAGCTGGCTGGTTGCAGCTCAGAGGAACAAGCTGGTGAGTGTGGGCGCTGATGTAACCGACTATGAATAGATGGGGATACTGTACAAGGACTGTGCCGGGGAGAACCAAATGCAGTCTTATTTATCCATAAGAGAATTTACTGTTTGTGCATTTGAACATGTGTGGGTGTGTGTTTGAGCCACGTGATTATGCATCATCCCCACTATAAAATTGAAACTAAAAAGGCTGAAGAAATGTATCTGTACTTGCTGCCTGAGCAAAAGTATATGTTCAATTATATTGCTATATGCATATTTTGTCAGTATTTGTATTTTTGGACAATGGAAAATGTACAAATGGACATAGAGCCTATTTTATGAAAACATGTGCGGCCATCAAGTTCATAAATCATTTTTAATAACGGACAAAACTGAGGAATAGTGCAATCAAACAGAGCTAGTGTTCATACAATTCTGTGTAAAACTATGTTGTATATACTCCATGTCCAAGCACATGCCCGGGGTGAGCTAGTATTTGCAAATATTTGTAGGGTTTTTCCCGTTATACAGTCACAGATTTGTGGGATTGCAAAGTGTCTTAATAAGAAGACAACATTACTTTTGCATGTGTTAAAAGCAGTTAAATTGTGTTAACATATGCTGATGTTACCAGATGTGTAACACATAAGCTAGTGAAGACATGCTGTTACAAATCAGCAGGCACACAGATGTGTCAAAAGTCCTAGGAACAATGCTATCATTTCTATATTCACAAAACCTGTCTTCAACAAGGGAAGTTTGAGTATATCTTATTATCTACATTAAACACTTACAGTGCACAAATTAAGGAAAGGTAAAAAGACAGAAAGACGTGTGAGACTTCTTGAGTGTGTATTGGAGTGTCCCAACATGACTTACGTTCATGGAGGCGTTGATCTCGCTGACCGCTTCGTCGTCCGTTGGAAACTGATATATCTGGACACCGTTGCTCACCAGCTCACTCATAATCTTTATTTTGAACTTATGGAGCTCACTCTTGGAGATTGTGTCAGCTTTTGCAATTATCGGTATTATATTGACCTGAGGAAAGGATGAGAAAAAGAGAGGGGGGATTGTACTCATTTAAACAATGATATTGAAAGTGTAGAGCATTGTCTTTGTTTTGATGGCTGAGTCTGACAAAAGATGATACACATTCCTCTACTGAAAGCTGCTTTGTGTTAAAGCATTAGAGTATACATACAGTATATTATGTAATGGTTTGGTTTAGGCTGGTCTGACATGCATCATCACTACAGGACAAAATGTGCCTCAGTATGAGAGAAGATGCACAGAGAATCAACCCAATGTTTCCAGAGAATTACAGATTACAGCAATTACCTTCTCTTTGTCAGCGGGTCATAAACAAACACTGACAATAAAGCTAAATTAAACATATTGATAGCTTGATTTAAAACATAAACCAAACTAAATACATTGCTAAATATGGCGGAAGAAGCAGACAAGACCATATGCAGCAAAACTGTACAATGAATAATCTCAGTCAGAACCCCGACAGATACATAAAACAAACAGTGATTACGAAAACAAACAAGGCTCCATCTCCAATCAGCAGCAGATGTGCAGAAATAAACACACAGTTTTTCTGCATTCCTCTGTACGGCTGCATAACCCAAATCACTAACCGGGAGGACGAGGAGGATCCCCACAGATTCCCTCATCAATTCCATAGTGTGCCTCAGAGCAAGAGCCAGAGCTTGTTAGGAGTCAAATTACAGGCTCATTGTACTTTATTGGATCATTAATTTACAGCAGGGTGGCCAGTATCATGTTTTAACTCTTATTTAATCACTATCCAGTGCTGACAACAGCCTTGTGTGGCTGCTGAAGCAGATGGGAGTGTCTTGTCATGGTCAGTGAGGAGGGAGGGGACAGTGATATTTGTTCACTTCCCACAACCGGTTTTTCCCAGCTGGCCAAAGAGTATTTCCAAATAGTTCTCACTGTTTGTTCTGAACAACTAGGAGCACCAGATGGGTAGCTGTAACCACATAAAAGCAGTTTATATGTAAAGTAAATTTGGACCTCTCAGAGTTCAAGTGACAATGAACCTAAAAATAGGTGTATCATGCCTGTGTGTTTAGATTTGACTGTGTTATGACTCAGAGAAGGAGTGTGATTTTTAACGCAGCTCCAACTGCTGACCATGCTGCCAAATGGGCCAAATCAGCAGGCCAAACTACAATAACCAACTTCTTCCATGTTTCTAGAACACACACACTTGTACCTGTGATTTTCATCTCAAGCAGTATCTTTGCCTCAAGTCTCTCCATGAGTGAACCTCCCCGTCAACTCTCAGTTGAAAAACTTTGATTTGGTGCAAATGGGCGAATAAAATCTAACCAAAAATACTATAAACACCCAAGATTGAGAATAAAATAGAAGTAAAGATAAAAAACATGTTCATTTGACTGATTATAGGGGAAATTATGAGACACTTTAGTAGGAAATATCAATCTTAGTTGACCTCTTCATCCTAATATTAGATAATTAACTGGTAATGATTTCCTCCTATTGAATAAAAACATGTTCATTTAAAACAAAGAACACATTCCCCCTTATCTCTCTTCCTGCCTTCATCTACCACGAACCACATGCACTCTGGTGGGCCGTCAACCATCCTTTTGTAGGGAGGGGTGATCCTTACCCCATTTACAAGAATAACACCATTGTCTCGCCTTGACAGCAAACTCTACAGTCTGAAGTTGTTTCAGGTCTGCCTCCCTGGTTTTTCCTGTGACAAGACTATCTGGCAGACATGATAGCGCTGTTCATTTATCTTTTGTTTCCAGATTAAAGTTAATGGTCACACACACAGGAACACCAATCATCTTGACGTGGATAGAACTGGGCACAGAAATCAAAACTGTGACTGTGGAACCTAATTATACTCTGATGAAGATGAAGCCACTCTTGAAATACCTCTAATGGCAATAACAACAACAAATGTGATTCTTGATAGCATGATGATGACTTGAGGACATTATATATACTTAACAGTAAATCAGTTCACTAAAAACTAACCCATCTGATGATAATAAGTTAAAAGAAGTTATTTGTGACTGTCAGACTCAGCAGGTTTATTTTTTCTGGTTAACCTGTAGACCTCTAGATATTACAAAAATAAAACTGCTAAATGTGCAAACGCTGACAGCGGTGGTGAGTAGCTGCTGCAAATATTTATTCTATATAGAAAGAGACCACTGCATAATCAATCCCATCAAGCCTGTAAAGCAAAACAGTGTCACATCTACACCGTGGTCACTCAACACTGGCTTGCTCTCAGATAAAACAGCGGCCATATTTCACATAGTGGAAAGATTGCTGGGACAGGGCCACTGAGGTCAGAGTGGTGTTCCCTGTGGCCACCCACTGGTGCACTCACAATGATGTAAATCATTTTGAATAGAAGCACCAACATTGCTGTTATTTTGCACTTTGGACACTTTCTGTTTATGCAAAACTGGAAAAGGCCTGCGAGCAACCAAAAAGCCCATCACAGCCACAGTGGAGTTTGGTTCATATGAGTAGATTGGGAGATTTAGGTGAGGCAAGCGGCTTTGCTTTCACTCATATTAGGACAGAGTATAGCTGGTAAGCTGCTGACCGTTTTGCTGTGGTTCATACACAGGGATAAAGATAATACATTTAGCTCAGGTGAGCTTCTCTGCCATGCTTCAAAAAGGAGTGGGTACACAGAGTTGGCTGTGTATGCCGTGGTGGTTTGGATGGTATCAAGAGACAGTTGGCAATAGCAGGCTGCCAGCTTTTGATCACTCTGTTGGCTGGTAAACACAGCACAGAGGGTCAGTGGTCAGCGCTGTCACTTCACAGCAAGAAAGGTGTTGAATTTGGATCTTGGCCCTTTGTATGTAAAGTCTTCCCTTATTACTTGTGTGCGTTTCCAGAACACTATTCTGGTTTCCTCAAAGAAATAAGTAAAAAAACAAAAGTACTACTGTTGCTCCATGACATTGGCCTTTATACAGTTGGTCCTCAGATAAAACCTTGTTTTCCAAAGTAGTAAGGATGGGTTAAATCAATTACAAAGTCTAAAAATAAATCAAAACACTAATTTTATTGATTTACATTTAGTAGATTTAAACTTCATCAAGACAAACAAATCTTTGTTCTGAGGTCTTCATAAAACTATTAAATCTTCCATGAGTGTGACAGTTGGTATCCGGTCATTGTTTTGAATAGTATCAGGGGCGATCTGGCAGAGATGCGCGGCCGCGCGTTGATAGCTGGCAGAGGTAAGCCAGCAGGTTTCGGTCACAAGCTGACCATCTGCTTTGTTCTGGATTCATTATCATTGCATCAACAGACACAAGCAGGGCCAAACGCTGCCTCTTTGTCTTTCCTACAGAACAGCAGTGCTATCAGTATTAATATGTATGAGTTCCTCAAAGGTCATGGTGCTGTAAATCAGTTTGACTGATGTACCAAAACTTCCTCAGCGAATGTTAAGATGATGTGTCAGGATGTAAGTAAGCATATACGCACCGCTGAAATCATACAAGCAAATGTAAACACATTAATGGAAGTTTGTCATCTACATGATGCAGCTTTCTCAGTTTACTAGTAGAGATCCAAAACGTCGCTATAATCCTTCTTAGCCTCAGGTCAAACAACGAAACAGAGTTCAAGACACAAACCTTCACTTTTGCATTTTAACTGCCTCTTTCTCCGTCCTTCCTTCTCTTCTGGGCTTTGTGAACATGTGCTTTGACATGTCTTTTCTCTTCCAGAAATTCCACACTTCTCATACTTAGAAACCAAGATTTAAGATCAAAAACCACTGAATGGTTTCTGCTGTGTTCATCACTGAGGAGTTTTCGAAAACTATCTGATAAAAATGTCAGGTTGAATTTATCCAAGTGTGGATGGTATCAAGCAGAAATAAATCATCATTATCAATACCTTATATGTATAGAAATGACTGAAGACTAGAGTAACTGAAGACTTACTCATAGACTCAAAAATTCAAAGAAAACCCCAGCAATGACTTAACTCCAAAGATTTTCCAAAAATGAAAATACAAATAATAAAATCTTGAAAAACACAACATGGCTGCAACTTAGTTGTTAGAATCCACTTACTTGCCCTTTCAGACTGTTCTTCCCCACTAAACCTCACTCCCTCCCCTCTCCCCTTCTTTCACGGTCCAAGTGCTGTTGTGATGAGATTTTCTTTCCACCAGTTGTCTCATTGAGGCCAAGCCAGCGATTGTGTCTCCACTGAGCCGCACTCATTGGATGTATGGCAAAGCACAGATCAACTTACCAATCAATCCATGTAGTAAATACTCTCACGAGAGCAATGAAAAAGCCACAAATCAATGTGGTTCTGAATGTGACTATTGACTAGTGTACGGCTGACCTGTAAACAACCGTTTCTGTATTACAGATGTGCAATTCAGTAAATGGGACGGACATCCAACACAGCAAATCAAACATTTTCTCTTGCAAAAACATGCAATATGTTGGCTTTTAAGAGTGAAACTACTCATATAGGGCCGGCCTTCCCAAAACTCTGGGCTGTTAAAGTCTAAACCTTAAACCTTTTACATAGGAACAGCCAAAGAACTTCACCCCAAATAATGCCATGTGAACTTTTCTTGAAATTCTATACGCTGAAATGTAAGTGTGCACTGTCTTTGCAACATTTTTCTTTTCACTTTATTCTTTTGGGACGCTGAGAGTCCACACCCCAGCAAAAAGATCAGGGACCTCCACGTCTCAGTGAAAGGCACACCACTCACGGTGAAAGGGAGGTCAGATTTCGGCAAAACTGATAGCTATTCACAGACAATGGGACAGGCCTGCGAGTGTGTGCTTTTTGTGCGAAGGGGAAGGCCACAGCTTGTATATGAATGTGGTGTTTGTGTGTAAATTGTGCCTACCTTGCTGTCCAATTTCTTCATCGTTACAAGATCCAGGGATTTGAGAGAGTGTCCTGTCGGGGCGATGAAATAAAGGCAGATGTGAATCCTGGTGTCGTGGTAGTTAAACAGCGAGCGTTTGATCTTCAGCTCTTCCTGGAGATAGTTTTCAAATTGAGTGTCAATGTAGTCAACGATGGGCTTGTAGCTGTGGAGACAGCCAAAGAGAAACTGTAAGGATTTATGTCTGTGGGCAAAAGCATAAATATTTGTCTTCTTATTCAGACACTGGTAATGAATATAAAAGGAAATGCGGACTTGTCACTGGGGAAATGAACCAAGACTGTTATGTTTTCAGTAACTGTGCGATCTGATTCTATGCCAAGATCTCAGCTTAGAGCTGTACAGCTTAGTGCTGCATGAAATTTGTGCTCAGCTTATGGGAGTCTGGTCGAAACAAATCACAGAGGCTGCAAAACGTCCTGTCCTTTCTCACAGAGCTGTGATGGCCTCCACAGCCTACAGTGTCACAAGTAAATCAAAGAAATGAACAATGTGGTAGCAAAGCTAAACAAACAAGACCAGAAAGATAAGGAAAATTCAACACAGGTCCATGTTTTTTTGGCTGCGATACCACAACACAAAACTAACATTTTAGATACCACTGATTTTTCTGAAGCAGATTTGTCTAACTGACTAGAGTTTAGAACTTATCCAAAAAAAATGTTTTCTTGCTGAAACAAACCCAGATTGCTGCACTGGAAAATATTATCCACCAGCACAAATTAGGTAAATACAATCATATTTACAAACATGACATTAACACATTTCAACTACCATAGCTTGTGTTTCATGGAGAGTGTTTCCATTGGGTGCACATACTTAGTAGCAATGAGGAATCAAAACAAGTGCCAATGATTCTGCACTATTTCCTCACTGCATGGATTGTCAAGTTAAATGTCAAGAAATGTGAAATGTCCTTTATTAAAATCATTATGTTTTTTTTAATGCAGCACTACGGTTCGTCTCTGCAAGCTATTTTTAATGTCTTTCAACCCCAAAATGGTTACCAGCCTGACAACATTAGGTCATGAGACAGTTTGAAGATAATTTAAGCCACATTCTCTGCGAGCTTGTTTGCAACAATCTGCAGCTTTAATTCATTTAGTTCAGTTCATTTGGAAGAGATGAGAACAAGACCATCAGAAGCCAGCCACATATTTAATAAACTGCATCATAGCGGCCTGAAATGCAAGTCTCTCTCAAGGGAGGCTGTGGTTCATTAGTCTTACAATCGCAGTTTAGTTCTTGTGATGCCACTTGACATTTTCAGACTACATATCTCTGCTATTTGGATAATTTGGTAATTTGGTTGCAATAATCTGTGTCTAAGAAATTTGTTCGCTTTCCATAATTCCACCAGCCTCGCCTCCAATTTAGGCCACAAAAATGTTTTAAACAGACATTGCTATGTTGCTATACTTGGACACTACATGACCGCCTCATTGGTTACAGCTAGTGTTACTTGTGTTTTAACGTGTTTGAAAATGTGTCTGCTCTAGACCTTGCTTGTCTAATGCCCTACATCAGTCGCGTCAGTAGATGTACAGACTTCTTCATCACGTCACACAGAACAAAAACATCGAAAATAATGCAATAGATTTTCAGCAGTAAGCAAGACAGTATGCAGAGTTCTTCTCGTTGTTTTTAAGATTTTTGTGTGAGATATAATAATAATTTTTAATCTTATTTTGTTCTAAAAAATCTAGAGACAATCATATGGTGAACCTGGTACCATTAACTGATCGCACAAGTGTATCGTTACATCCTTACAGGCTATACTGGTAATCTTGTCAAATTTTCAACAGCAAGTCTTCCCTCATCCTATTTTACAACCCAGAGTTAGCTAAAAAAAAAAAAAATTCTATATCCTCAGCAAGCACCATGTTTCCAGTCATCTGTCCTCTCCCTTCACATCTATCTTCAATCTTCTCTGTGGAATGCACCAACTCTGACCTTTTGAGGCTCTCTGTGTGCATTTACAGTCTGCTGCAGAGTCTGTCCTTCGGCATGTTGGTTTATACAGCCTACAGAGAAAGCTGCTATCAAAGGGCGTGAGAGTGCTGCTTGCTGGCTAGGTCACAACAAGAACACTCCATTCCACAGCTGAATGTTAAAAAAAAAAAAAAAAAATCAACTATTTCCTCTTTATTGCTGTCCCACCTCGTCCTATTTCCATCCCACAGAGAAAACCAAAATGTGCAGAAAACCTGGACTGATATTAGTTTGTGTCTGTTTCTCTCATTTGTATCCCTGGCAACATTGACCAAATTTGGGCATAACTATGGTGTTGTCATCTTGCAAATAGAAAAGGAGGTTTTGGATAAGGATTGTCAGGAAAATCTGTCGTTACAACAGTCAGGAGTCAAATGGAAAACGCTCTGAAGCTCCTCTGTTTCACGCATGTGCTCCGACTACCAGATGAATGGAATTTCACTCATAGGTCAATACAATAAGTAGTGTTTATCAGAGTACAGCAAGCTGTCCTGATACAATAAATGGCACTGTTGGTAAGATTTACCAAGGTCTGGGACTCAGTTGTGGAATGTAACTAAGCATCCCTACTCAAGCACTGTACCCAAGTAGAATGTACTTATACTTGACATTAGTATTTCTATTTCACCTAAACCAGTTAAACAGTAAAATCCAGCATGAATAATAACAATCTGTCATACACAGTATAATCATACATAGCTCACAGGGGCCTTTTTTTCTGCAGAACAAGTTATTTTACCTTTGATACTTGAAGTATAATTTGCTAATAATATTGAATGAGGGACTTTTTACATAGGATCTGCGTGCTTCTTCCACTACTGCAGTAACTATTGTTCAACGTGTAATAAAGACCAGATTCACACTGAAATGCAGTCAAAACAGATTATTTACATCCTGAATGCATCCTGAAAAATGTTCGCTTCTTATCTAAATTGAGGCCAGTTTTAACCAAAAGATGTAGATGTAGTATCTTTTGACCTGCATTAACCATCTAATCATGTCACCGTCATTTCTCTATCCTCACCTATCCTCTTTGTTGATCTGATCACCAAAGCCGACCGTGTCAACAATCGTCAGTTTGAGGTGGACGTTGCTTTCTTGCAGGTCGTATGTTCGCGGCCGCAGATAAACCCCATTCTGATAATGGCTTGCCTCTTCGTTCTCGAACATGGTATTGAAGAGGGTGTTCATTAATGTTGACTTGCCGATACCAGTCTCCCCTGTGGATGGTAGGAAGTAGAGAGAGAGAGAGAGAGAGAGTTAAACAACTTGGTCACTGGGGAGCGATTCATCAGCTTTCAGACATGAGGTTTTTATTCCAGCAACACAAGTGGGAGGCTTGTGCATTTCTTTCATGTCAGGAAAAACAACAGATTGTTGCTGTTTTGTTGTAGTTAAACATGTTGTTTTGCAGAAAATAAATCAAGTAAAGATTGAGGGGAAATGTTCAGTAGTTATGGCATGACCTGTCACATCCGTGAGTTGCTAATTGTACACAAGACAGAGTTCTTGTTTTACACACACAGTCTGTCATGCACTTTGCACACACATTGTCACTTGGTACTCACCTACACAGAGAATGTTAAAACAAAATCCCTGTGTGACCGATTTACTGACCAGTTGGTCAGGGAGGCTGTCAAATCCAACATGTCCACCCAAACTCAGGTTACGCTTCTCTTCATTCTGCAAAACAAAACAAAAACATTAAAAGCCTGTTTGCATGAGAGGAAAACACACATGGGGAAGACATTAGACAGAGGTAGGAAGAGCTGGTTGCTGAAGCCTTCACATGCCTATGCAAATGACCATCAAAGACCCTGTGTACATTCTGCAGATGCAAAACCAATCGTCTAACATTATGATTTAGGTTATCGGGGCCTACAGTGAGGATGAGCATTAAGACTAATCCTTCACAAGCATGATGAACTAAATACATTTCCACACCCAGAGAAGGTGCACTTCATAAGTGGCAGCCAGAGAAATTAACTCATTCAGAGATTGAATACGGAGGATGAAAAATGAGAATATCCCCAATTGGGAATATACTGCAAGTTACTAGTGAATTAAGCAGTTATTTGGAATATTTACATCAAGAACATAAACATTCAAAGCTACTGCTTCATTTCTTTGGCACTGATGGATGAATACATGATATAAAACCATTTAAATAATCTTAATTTACCCCCCATATCGATTATTTTTTTCAGTACAATAAAATTGAGCACAGCAAGCTGCACTATGCAAACTTGTAAACAAAACAAAACAAAACATGATGTCCACTCAACACTGCTAAAGTAATTCATTGCAGAGACCGTGCACAACCACTCTGTAATCAATGTGCATTTTGAAGAGAGCACCCTGGACCTAAAAGCACAAAGATTACCGATACACAACAACAAGACAGACAGACAAAACTATTGGGCTGTAAGCGTTTTCACCTTTGATCTCCCTTATCTAACCCATCTTGTCTGAAGGAGAGACAGTCAGTGAGAAGTGAGAGCGTGTTAGAGCTGTAGAGGAGGGGGAGACAGACAGCACCTTGAGATGAATGGGGCCACCCGAGCTCGTCTGGCTCAGCCACGAAGGACTGCATATTTGAAGGCTGATGTCACCGAACACAAGGCAGAGCAGAGCTCAGCTGAATGCAACCCGACTGTACTAAACTCAGACGTGGAGACAGGCTCTGCATACCTACGCAGATGGGTTATAAACTTGACTGAACAGAACAATAAAATATGAGCACTGCGAGTATGTGTGTGTGCAAGTATAAGGGGAAAGAAGAGAAATGGGGCTTAATGTATCAAGCAACACCACTGGAGTAAGCTGACGTGAGCTGAGCTAGGCAATATTGAGCTGAGCTGCATCGCACTGGGAGCTTATTACATTACATTCACACTCGTGTTCAAAAATCAATACAAGCGGTAAATATGCTTTAAGTGTTTTTAAATGTGATGTTCTTCAGCCAACTGAGGAAACGTGTTTAATGGCAAGCCAGGTAGCAGCAAAAACTTAACTGTTACTGTTGTGTTCATAGGAGGTGTCCATATGAAGACTGTAATACACTGTAATCATTTCTGATCTGTCCCCCAAATAATATTAAAGGACCAGTGTGTAGGATTTAGTGGCATCTAATTGCATGAAATTGCAGATTGCAACTACGGTAATTTAAAACTGCTCACGTCTGTATTTGATGACCTGGGAGTGAGAACAGGCTGTGAAGTGAGTGTAAAGGAGAAACCATGATGGCGAAACTTGTGAAGAATGCAAAAGCCCCTATCTACAGCCGGTGTTTGGTTGGTCTGTTCTAGGCTACTGTAGAAACATGGTGGTTCGACATGGCAGACTCCATGCCTTGAACAAAAACACACTGATTCCTATAGTCGGATGATTATGAAAACATACTTATTACCTATTATTCCCTAAACATATTATATTCCCTAAATGTTAAAAACTGGACCTTCATCTGTAGTTAATATGAGGCTGCAGCAGTCTTTTAGTACAAAAATCTGTCTTTGTGTTAGTACCCCTCTATGCAGCTCAGCAAGGAAACACTGTCAAGGGAAACACAAAGGGGGAATTAGACTAAATTTGGAATATACAGACTGCTACAGCCTCATATTAACTTCAGATAAACGGTGGAATGTATTTTTATGGAGTGAGGACTGTGGATTTTGTCCCCCGTTACTTACACTGAAAGCATCTTAAGAGAAGATGGCTAGTACGAAGAGGAGGAATGATTACAGCCAGCAACATCTGTTTCAGTGTTCATATAAGCAGCTGACTACTGTTTGAAGACAAATTGTGAACATGTCCTTTAAGTGAAATGTTTGAGCGCTGTACATCCAGTTGTTGATGACATTCCACTCTTGTTCCTTTTTGAATGCGCTCATTGCCAAATGAATGTAATGTTGATCAGTAGCAGGTTTACAGGGAAGAAGGAAAGAGGGAGCGGTACTGTCAATTTGTTGTTTCTTAGTCACTGTAAACTCAGAGCTTGTCAAACAACATTAATGCTTCCCTGTGGTATTCAGCTAGCTGAATGAGGCTTGTGGAGATATTTGGATAGATTGCTGGAGGGCGAGGGTGTGACTGCTGGTATCGGGCCTGCAAGGAAACCAGTGCAATGAGTTGTGTTTAAAATAGGAAAAGTCGACAATTAATATTAGCCTTTATTTATCCAGGGAAGGATAAATAAAGGCTGCCTGCTCATGTTCCATCAACACTCCGGTTTCACATGTGGTAGCTGCACTACACTGCACACAGTGGGTGATTAGGCGTCTTGCTCAAGGGCACCTTTACAACATTTTTTTTGTGCGAGTGAGGAATTTTCTTTTCTTTTTTTTGTCTTACGCCGCAAGTCTGGAAATTTACACTTCAGGTCAAAGGCTTACCTCTGGAAACTCATTGGGCCTATTCATTACATATCTGGGCCCTCAGAGGAGCGTGGCCAAAGTCAAGGGGCAAGCCTGTGACACACTCTTATAAACATTGTTTCTGTGGGAATTGCTCCAAACTCACCAAACCACATTGGCAAAGCTCTCGGATTGTGAAAAATAACAAAGATCCTGTCACATAAGATAATTCTAGGTTGACGTCCTACACTGAACCAGACAAGCTGTCAGTAGCACATAATCTGTGTGTGAATCATAAGAGGCAGATGGGTCTGTGACTGAGGGCGACAAAAAGAGCACGCAGACCTGACCAACAGTGTTATCTTTAAGGATCAGACAGAATAGAAGTGCAGACGTGGACACAAACTCGCCATGCTGTGACTTCACAAACTGAATGTGTGAGTGTGTAGTGGACTGGAAAACAACTACCTAAAAATACTGCACTACATGTAAAATTCCTCCATTCAAATCTTACTAAAGTAAACGTAAGTATTAACAGCAAGTCCGTTCAGTTGAAAGTAAGTACTAATTTTGCATTTACAAAAATATATCTTTGTAAATCAAATCAAATCTTATATGTCTATTAAATATAAGCCTATATAATTATATGCATAAAATATATGACATCTAAAGACAAATCTATCAGCACAGTAAGGTTACTTGTATTTTTTATTGAAGTTCAATTGCTTAAAGATGGTTTAGAAATACGTTTTGCACAGAAAAAAAGTTGAAATATTCTGGCTGCACTGGCAGATATTTCAGAGTTAAATCTCCTTATCAGGTCATCTAACTCTTTATCCTTAATAAAAAGTTAGATGACTTGTATAAGTAGATTTTGTGCAGATCATATGTTTTGTATGAAAAAACTGCAAAATAACTAGAAACTGTAGCTGTCAAGTAAAATGTCTGAGTTGAGCTGAAATGTAGTAGAGCAGAGGTATAAAGTAGCAGGAAAATTAAACACTGAGTAGCTTAGCTTGCATCTAAGTCTATGTATTCATGCATGTACAGTATGCGAGCTACAGCTAATCACTATTGTCAGGTGAAAACATTTTTCAAAGGTTTTGACTTTGGCTGAATGATTAGTTCGCCATAAAAAAGCCTTCCATCTTATGAAGTCCCACTCAAAAGAAGCTAGATTACATGCACAATGCATCACAAAGCTATAAATAAACCTGATGGTCTTAGTTCCTAAAACATTTAATGACAACAGCACAACAACACCCATCGGCTAAGAAAGTATAACGAGCAGACGAGAGCTATTAGGGACACTCTGAGGCATCTGTCTGTCCGCCTGTCCAAGCTAGAGCAGAGAAGAGAAGAGAAGAGCAGCAGCGTAAAGTATGACAGGAATGAAAAGCTTCTGGTTAACTGTCCCAGGGTGAGGAAACAACACAGTTACCAGGCCACCGTATCACTAGGCCCACAGGAAATGGCTGCGCACAGGGGCCCCAGGTGGCTCAAAGTGAAATGAGGCATGAACTATATAAGCTAGATCACAATGCTGTGCGTTTGTAGTGGGCTGATGTAAACCACTTTTTCCTGTCAGCAACAGACCTTTCTCTCAGAGCACATTTCAAATCTCACAGACGGAAAAGCAGAAGTGTAATTAATAGACTCAATGATGGCTGAATTCCATTTAGCTGCTTCGGTTTTAGCGTCCTCCTGGTATTGCAGTGCACGCTGGCCCCACTGTCACGGTTTACTGGCACACTTATAGAACACAGTGATTGTCGATGTTATTACCGTAGTTACACCTGTGCTTTTTCTATGATGGAAAAAGGCCTGCATCAATAAAGCAGCTGAAAAAAAAATGTCACAATACAATTTCTAGTTTTCTGCTGAAGCACATATCGTATGACCTTGCCTATCTATCAGTCGATCAATTACGTTTTAAGACACAGTGTGGTCACAGTGTGGCTTTCTATACTCGCACCCTCTAAACAGACTAATACAATGTCAGCTGCCACTATTTTGGCAAATTGGCACCATTAAAAGTATGCCGAATTAGCTATTAGCCATTCCTGTTTGCAGTTTACCCATGGATATATAGGCAAATATTACTGGATTACTTTGATACTGAGGAACACTTAAAAACTTGATGATTCTCAGGGAAGTTCTGGTGTTGCAAGGGGAGTCTCTTTTCTATAATTCCACTATAAAGTAAATAAAATCAGTGTCAGAAAGTGAGTTATGACTCTAAGAACAAGTAGCTTAAGTACCTTAATTGCATCCATGGGCTGTGTGGAACTGCTACTGCTGCAGCTCCAAATGCTGACAGTAATAAGTGGG